AACTCACAAAACTGACACCTCGAAGGCACCATCTGGCCCTGAGCTCCTTCCCTCCACTGCAGAACCTCCAGGGAAGGAGAGGCCCAGCCAGCTGTCTCTTCCTCTTCCAGCAGCTGCAATCACTGCATTTTTCTATCATTCATAACCACTCCTCAGGGCCTTTCTTTCCACTCACCATCCTTTCTACGTCTTCCCCATTCAAATGGAAGGCCCTTGCCAGCAGGGCTTGTCTGCTTTCTGTTTGTATTTGTCATTCCAGCACTCAGTAAGTGTTTAATAAAGGCTTGTGGACTGACTGAATAGCGTTTAGGCCTTTTTTATCCTGGGTCAACAACAACAGAGGGGAAAAACAAACCTACAAGAGAATCTGATTTGATAGACCCTACTTAAAAAAAAAATGTAAAGAACATGAAGGAAACATTGGGGGCAAAACAAAAGAATGAATCACAAGCTCTTCAGTCACTCACTAAACACTTAGTAAGCATCTGCTATGTGCCAGGCACGCACTGAACTCTGGGAATACAGAGAAAGGAAAAAGGCAGACCCCATCCTCTAGAAACTCAGTTTAATGAAGGAGACAACACGCAAATAACTCTGGACAAACAAGCTAGATGCAGGATAAACTGGAAAGTCAGCAGAAGAGAGGCACTAGAATTAAGAGGGATTGGGAAGTGCTTCCTGTAGAAGGTGAGATCTTAGCTGGGCCTTAGAAGTCCAGGAGGCAGAGGTGGAGGGAGAGCATTCCAGGCCTGGGAGACAGGCAGAGAAATGCCCAGAGTCAGATGGGGACCAGTGGCACTGGATTTCAGAGTACATAGTGGGAGGGCTGGTGGAGGGATCACATTGTGATGGGGTCTGATTCTGGAGGTGATAGGGAGCCCGTGAAGTTCACCAAGTAGGGAGGGACTGATATGGCAGACCTGCAAAGGCTGGCTTTCAGAAGATCACGTTGACAGCTGAATGGAGAATGGGTGAAGTAGGGAGAGACACGGCAAGCAGACCCCCACAGCAGCCACTGCAACACTTCAGGCCTGAAGCTATGAGGGCTTGTACGATGGTGGCAGCAGTGGCAGAGAGGTGAAGGTGACGTATATGAGAGATACGATGAAGGTAAAGTCAACAGAACTTGGCAACACCTTGATTACGGAAGGTGAGAGTGTGGAGTTAAAGATAACACCTGGATGGGGAGCCTGGGTAACCGGAAGGTCAATAAGAGAGAAGTCCGGAAGAGGCGAGGGTTTGGGTGGAAAGATGATGAGTTCAGTGTAGGACACGCTGAGTGTAAGATGTCCAGCTGGAGATGCTAGAGGTCGAGAGGGAGCCTAGGGCTGAATGGGACGATTAAAGCATGAAGATGAAAAATAGGAATCCATGAGAACTGAGGAGATCACCAAGTGAAATTATATAGAGCGAGAAGAGAAGAGAGCTTGCCTGAAAAGACACTACCCAGGTATGACCTGGATGAAGAGCCAATAATGGAGACTAAGAAGAAGCAGTCAGATAGGCAGAAGGAAAACCAACACAGAGGACTGGCACAAAAACACACGTGTGTGTGCACACACCCATACACACACATACATACACATCCACTTCAGTGTGGGGGCACATGCACAAATACACATATGAGTGCATGTGGACGGATGGATTCAGCACACAGTCCTCTCCTCATGCTTCTCATTAAGCAATCAGGAATCCTTTCATTCTCTTGAGTAAGTAGCAAAAGAAGAGACTAGCTTTGGGAATTAAGAATAAATCCTGCCCATTTGGGGAAAAAGGTGTTTAAACCTTAAAGACTGATTTACAGACCATCTTTTTCATAGCACTTTCAGGACAAAGTAATAGGAAATGCTATTTGTTTTTCAGTATAAATGTCTTCTGGGTCTAATCTCATCCAGGAAAGCAAGCCATGGTTATGGTTCCATTTAAATGGATAATGCGGTCCACAGGGGTTAGTGAGGTTCTGACAGGCCAACAGAAGTGACGGGGGCTCCCCGCCTTTCAGCAGCCTCGGGTGAACAATTCCGAATGCAGGCGGCTGGGTTTCTTACCTCCCATCAGCCTCTTTTCTACAGCCAGTCATCGCTTGCACCTCATATGGAAGTTGTTTTTCTCCTGTATGTGTATTTTACAGTAAATTAGATGGAGCTGCAGCTTTGTGGAAGGCACTGAACAGAGTGTGTGTGTGTGTGTGTGTGTGTGTGTGTGTGTGTGCTTGCGCACACGTGCGTGCTCAGCCCCCCAGGGCCAGGTGGTGCGTCCTGATGCACTGTCCTCTCCTCTCAACAACCCCAGGCCCCAGCCACGTGTGCAGGTGGCATCCAAGGGTGAGGTGAGGAGCCAGAGCCCAGAGTGGGCCCCTCGACCTGGGGCCTGGCTCTCACTGGCCCTGAACAGCCCCAGTTGGGAATTCCTAGGATTGTTGAGCTCTCAGCAAACACTTTAATCTTGTCCCCTACCAGATGTTTTCCTTACTGAGCACAAAAACTCCATCAGAAGACTGAAATGAGTGAGGAAATGAAAAAAACAAATGATCAAAAAGGATGCTTGAAAATAACATCAGAGAGGCCCAAAGCAGCGATCCTAGAGGCCCCAGAGAGGATGGGGCAAGGGGATTCTTCTGTAGGAAAAGGCCTTGGCAGGTAAATTCAAGAAAGAGTTCTGGAGTATTTTGTTTTCAAGTATAACTACCCGTAACCTATGCCTACATATTTCTTTTTTTTTTCTTTTTTTCTTTTCTAATCAATTGGGTAAGAAAATAACATTTCCTCTCAAGGCAGGGACAGGGGAAAGATCACACAGAAAAGGCTTGGACAAGAATAACTAGAAGGTGATCTTATAGACGTTAAGCCCATAAGTCAAAGGAAGCTGGATTTTGCTGGGTGCAATACGTTTACTTTTGCTTTTCCTTTTTCTAAAAATGCTCCTTTGGACAGAGAATTTTGTTATGCTGACCATCACAATGTGCACAGCCTGAGTCTCTTCTCCCTGCTCTGATCGTGGATCCATGTTGTCAGAAAACAGAAGCTGCCCTAGGAATCACAGGTTTGCAATCTCTCCTTGGGGGATGGCTGTCTCCGGGAACACGTTTGGAGTCACCTAATCCAGGCACATTCACTTACAGCTCTGTTTCCAGCTAGGGTGACCTTTGTTCCATGTGCTCTAAAGGACCGGCATCTTCCCTGGAGAAATGGGAGGATCACAGAATTGGAAGGGAACTGGAGAGGTCGGCTGAGATGCAGAGCAAGATGGGAGAAAGAAGAAATCTGGAGCCAGAAGAATGAGGTCTGAACCTAGTTTCTGTGACAAATCCTGTGAGTCCTTGTCTCCTCCTCCAGAAGAAGGAAGCAGCAGATTCCGTGGGCTTCCAGTCCTGAATTAGCCACCTGAAGCTCCCTGCCTGCCTCAAGGTCTGCAGAGAGTGCAGAAGAAGAGGCATGGAACCTCTGGTCCCTCTTCTGCTGTGATCTTCGTGCTGATGAAACTCAGTTTGCTCTGCTTCTCATCTCTTTTTGATTTCCAGTCTCTCAGGATTTGCTCCCAGAACTTGAGTGTCACAGACTGAGCAGGAAATCAGATCTCTGCAAGTCCGACTGACCCCTTCAGAAAGACCCGACAAAGACCGGGCGTGTTCTCGAGGTTGTTGGCCTCATTCTCCAAACGGAAAAACTGAGCAGAGTTGGGACTAATGGAACACAGGGCTTTGGACTTCCTGCCCAATGCCCTCTCCACGCTAAAGGCACCTGGAAGTTCTTTCTGTTTATGATTCCCAATCTTCAGCAAAAATGACCAAAATAGTGGATCCAAATCATAGTTTATCCAGGCTTCTTTTTCACTGTCTCGCTCCCCACCTCTAAAGTTATTTCCACAGTGGCTTGAGAAATGGCCCACATAATCAAGTTTACAGCTGCAATGAAACAGTCTGGGTAAGGACAGCTTTCCAGGGCTCACGGAAAGACCCTCCTCGAATAAGTCTCCATCTTCTGTGTATTCCTACAGAGACGCAGAGCCCGACATGTATCAGCGATACCATGCACCTAAAGGAAGAAAAGGGCTCCCCACTCCCCATTTCCTCACATACGCTTGCCCTCTACTATTTAAAAAGCTTTGCCAAACTCATTCACCATCACCAGCCAAAGGAGCCTGCTAACCAATCCAATCCCACCGTAGGTATGAGATCTTTCATCAAATTCCTCCCAAGAAGTGCAACATCATAGGACTCATCAGGTTTCATTTAAAGTTATAGGAAGAAGAAATTAAAGATAATCCTCTCATCAAAGCTATGAAAGGGCAGCAAAGAGACAAACAGATCCCCAAAGTAAGCAACATTTATATGCTGAATTAGCAAAGTGCAGAAGCATTCTACAACATGCCCATACACTTTGTTTTGTCTTGGTGGCAAAAGGAAAATTGCTTGTAAAGACAAAAACATATTAACAAGAAAAGTCTAGAACCAGAAGGCACCTGAACTGGTCATCTAAGGCCTCAGAATTGCAGCTAAACTGGATAAAAGCAATCCCAATATTGGCGACGTGCTTGCTCCGCACCAAAACCAGTCTGCCTGAGACACGACGCACCAAATTCTAGCCTCTGTGGCCCTCAAGTCTGATTTAAATTCGATCATGTTTTTAGATGTCGAGCTGTAACTGAATTGGAGAAAATGGGCCCCTGCTGATGTGGTAAGCTAGCTCTGGAGGAAGACTGACCCTGAGGTCTTGGAAGCAACACCTTCAGAGTACGACATCAAACCTCACCACTAAAGAGGGGCTAGAAGCAGGGGAAGTAAGCCCCTATTACAAAACATTTAATCTCTATTTTCAGTCGCTCAATTGTTTTATCTGGCTTGAGAAAACACTGGCCTGAGCCAAGAAAAGTAAGACGGCAACTTTAAAAATCTATAACACAAGAACACCGGCCCATTCGGGCTTGTAATGGGAGCTCACTACCTATTAAACATAAGTTTTGACAGTTCATCCCACTGACGCTATGAAAAATATACTTGCTTCCATGTGTCTGTTTGAAAGGCAGGCAGGGAACTTCGGCTGTCCAGATCCCAACTTTATCCAATAATGACTCTGGGATTGGCTGTTCTTGGCCCCCTGTGTAGAAATGTTAACAGTGCTTAAAGTGTATACTTAACACACCACACCATGCGAGCGGCCTTTTTCATATGTCTTACATATTTCAAACGTTAAACTATATAATGAAAACACATACCGGATATCATCAAGTGTTAATAAGATTAATTCATTCCTAACAACTCCCCAGCTGAGATCTGAAGGAAAGGTCACCGGGTCAAAGTCAAAAGCAAGCTCAGTGCACTAAAAGACTTTCCTGTCGCTGTTGGATGGAGGTGCTATGACCAACAATTCTGCGGGGCAGCAGGAATCCCCAGAGGGCTGGCACAGAATGAGGCTCCGCCATTTTCACACACTACCCAAGACAAACTTGATGGTGCAGGTGGCTTTCTTGTTTTCAATTACATGAAAGTTAAGTTTCTCAATGAAATGACACTGAGGCCCGTTCTCTCCTGCTGAGGGCCACAGCCCAGGCCGAGGCAGCTGCAGAACGGCTGGCCTGTCAGTGCCATTCTCTGCCCCGCCCTACCCCCACTCCCAATCATTGTTTCCTGTCCAACAGAGTGAGCCAAAGGATGTACCGCCTCCCCTGAACCTGGGCCAAGCCCCAACCATGGACTCAAGGCAAGGGAGACAGATCATTCTGATTATCACAAAATCAAATTTTCAACTCTGTCATCATCAGCCTCAAGGTTTTTACATGACAAAAAACAGCATTTACTTTGTTTGCCATCATGTCAAACCGTGTCTGTTTCCCTGCTTGAGAGGCACACAGCTGAAGAGCATTTGCACAAGCCTAATTTAAACCGAACGCTTCGAGCAGACCCCAGCTCGTTCCTCAGCCCCCTGCCCGGCAGATGCTGCTCGGCAGCAGCCAGGACTTCGTTCAAGCCCGGCGCCCTGCTGAGGGGCCAAGCTCCTCTGGGCTTTCGGAGCCCCACCTTTCAAGGGACAGGTCCTTGACTGGCATCTGCTGAGGAAGCTGGGGTGAAGAGAAATCTTTTCCTGCTCTTTAAATCAACCCTAGGGACTGGATAATTTTATGGCCCATAAAATGGTTGCAGCTTCACTACTAAAATGTGGGAATCTGATTTCCCCGGGCAAACTGATCACCACAAGGAGCAGGGGAGAGTCCCCTTTACTAACAAAGAGATGGATGAATTATGGAAGGCTGTCTTTGCCCATTCAATCCAATACTATTCTTTGCCCCTAATTTCAACGGGACAAACCTTGTGTTCAAATAAATGAAGTCAACTGGGCTGCAAACAGCCCCCAGAAGTAAGATGCTTGAGATTTGTTTTCAATGACCTTTGTCAGCCTTCTAGGGTGACCTGCTGGATTCAATTCAATTCAACAAATTGCTCATTAAGAGTCTCCTACACCTGAGGCATCCTACTAGGTGCTGGGAGTGAAGGAAAGTTAAAGCAGAGCCCTCAAAGAGATGACATTCCGAGCAGAGGCACAAGCAAATACACACTCTCTAGCAGTCCACACTGGAGACTTCCCAATACATCATGGCACAAGCCTGGTAGGGCCTCACCATGATGAAGCCCAGTCTTTCACTGTCTCTGCTGAGATCTCTTCTAAAATTCCATCTCCCAGAAATGCACATCAAAACAACTCTGAGGTACCACCTCCCACCTATCAGATGGGCCAATGCGACAAAACAGGAAACTGATGAACGCTGGAGAAGATGTGGGAAAACTGGAACACTAATGCATTGCTGGTAGAGTTGTGAGTCGATCCAACCATTCTGGAGAGCCATTTGGAACGATGCCCAAAGGGCTGTAAAACTGTGCACACCCTTTGACCCAGCAATACCACTAGTAAGCACTCTATCCCAAAGAGACCATAAAAGTGGGAAAAGGACTGACATGTACAAAAATATTTAAAGCCACTCTTTCTGTGGTAGCTAAGAACTGGAAATTGAGGGGATGCCCATCATCCGGGGAATGGCTGAACAAGTTGTGATACATGAATGCAATGGAATACTACTGTCCCATAAGAAATGATGAGCAGGTAGATTTCAGAAAAGCCCGGAAAGACTTACATGAACTGATGCTGAGTAAAGTGAGCAGAAATCAGGAAAACGCTGTACACAGTAACAACCACACTGTGCGATGACTGACTTTGAGAGACTTAGCTCTTCTCAGCAATGCAAGGATCTAAGACAACTCCAAAAGACTCATGATGGAAAATGTCATCCACACCCACAGAAAGAACTATGGAGCCTGAATGCAGATGGAAGCAGACTATTTCTTCTCTTTTGTTTTTTGTTTTTTCTTTCTTGTGGTTTTTCCCTTTCGTTCTGATTCTTCTTTACAATATGACTAATGTGGAAATATATTTAATATGATTGTACATGTATGGCCTATATCCGATTGCATGCCATCTTGGTGAGGGGTAAGGGGAGGGAGGGAGAAAATTTTAGAACTCCAAATGAATGTTGAAACTCCTCCCTCCTCTTGTTCTACTTCCTGTTCGTTAGTCAGTCAAGAGGCACGGGCTGAGTGCTAAGCACGTGCCAAGCACTGCACTAATTGCTGGGGATACAAAGAAAGGCAAAAACATGACTCCTGCCCTCAAGGCCAGCCTGTGAAGAAGCTAGCAGCAGTGCGGGCATCACCATGTTGCCAGAGAGAAAACAGAGGCTCAGAGAGATCCTGGGATCTCAAAGAGATAGTGTGCGAGCCAGGATTCAGACCAAGCCCTGCTCCGAGAGGGGACACATGGTCTACTGGGATCCCAAGCACCGAGCCAGTCCAGCACCTGGTACATAGTAGGTACTCAATAACGTACTCAACAGAATTCTGACCCCAAGACCAGGACTCTCTCCCTCTCTGCCATGCAGCTGAGTAAGGGTGGAAAGGCAGAGGATGTCAAAAAGCTAGAACCAAGAAGACAGAATTACTCAATGAGCAAGCTCAGGTTTCAGTAAAAGAAGAATGAGACCAAATAACAGGAATACTAAATAAAGTTACAGAATGCAAGAGGACAAAGACTTCAATAACTATTTTATTGGTTTCCGAGGATCATAGACTTAGAGGTGGAGAGGACCTGGGAGGCCAATGCATTCAACCCCTTCGTTGGACAAATGAGGCAATCACTTCTGCGATTTGCCCTGGGTCACCCAGTAATGTCCGAGGCAGGATCTGAACCCAGATCTTCCTGACTCCAAGACGTCATCTACATGGGAAATTGTAAGTGTGAAAACTCCTTCCTTCAAGGCACATTAGCAAGTCATTTGTAATTTACAGTTGCAGACAGTTACCTGGGATAATGCTGAGATGTTAAGTAACTTGACCATGGTCACACAGTGCTGGGACAGGACTTGAACCTGGGTCTTCCTATATCCAAGGCTATCCACTCCACCTGCCACCACTTAACATTTATCCAACAAACACTTAATGATTGACTAGTGTGCAAGGGGCAGCTAGGTGGTGCAGTGGGCAGAACGCCAGGCCTGGAGTCAGGCAGCCTCACCTCCCTGGGTTCACATCCAGCTGTGTGACCCTGGGCAAGTCACTTAAACCTGCTTACCTCAGTTTCCTCATCTGTAAAATGAGCTGGAGAAGAAAATGGGGTCACAGAGAGTCAGACACAACAGAAAAAGACTCAACACCACCACCACAATCATGTGCAAGACATCATTAAGGATGGGAGGAGCGCTTAGGCGTAGCGAGTCACTCCAGGCAAAGAAAGAAAACCCAGAAGAAGCCAATGCATGCAGCAGACTTGGAAGTACGCAACGAGGACCACGAGAGCGGCGGCCCAAAGGTGGCAGAGGAGACGGAACGAGTTCTGCCTGAACTGACAAGAGCAGGTTCAGGAAAGGGTCCACGGCCGTTCTGTCCAAAACAGCCCACACAACAGATAAGGCCTCCTAAATGGAGGCTGTCCCTTGGAGAGATGTGCTTTCAGACATTTCCTCCGACAGATTTCCTATCTTTTATCAAAAAAACAAAAGGAAAGGCCAGAGTCCCTTTTGTAAGAGATTCCCAGAGCACCAAACCACAAGGCGAAGAAGAGTCTCCCTCAGCTCAGTCCCTGCTCTCATGAAGCTCCCATTCTAATGGAGCAAGACAGCACCTATGGGACTGTTCAGAAGAAGGACAGCAGACCATTCACTCTGTAGGGCTGCAGAAAGAGCAGTTAAGGACAATGAAGGATTGCCCTGAGCATGACTTTCTGGTACAAGGAACACCGGTATTTCTCTGATAACAACAAATAAAAAAAGACTTTTTAACTATCAAGTTTGCAGGACACCCAGAAAGAAAAGCTTGCCTTCACTTCATTTTAAACTCTGCTCTTTGAATAGCATAACACAGGCAAAAAGGAGAGGAGAAAAAACCCCAGCAAACCCAGGCATCTGCATTCTCTTAGAAAAGTATAATTGGTAAACGTCCTCTGCTGGACCAGAAAAGCACTGGAAGGAAGTTCCCCAGGGTCAGCGGGGGCCCAGGAGACAGATGAAAATGACTCCCTCTTTCCATGTGCACAGTGATAAGAACTCAAAATGACCTCCTGAAGAACCGAGAACTGGCTTTTGGAGCCAAAATACAAACACTTTCCATAAACAACGGGATCTTCTATTTACTCTTCAGATGGTACATCATCAGGTAAACTGGGGAAATTTAATAAAATCAGTATGACCCGAATTGAAAAAAAGCAATAGTACTGTAAGTCATTACTGCTCTTTATATTCAGAAACACAAAAGGAGCCCAGACATTTCTGGAAGCTTTGGAGACAAAGACTGAGAGGAGTAAAAACTTAAGGCAAGAACCTTAAGCAATGTGGCCTATTTAGAGTGAGTTCTGCAGGCACACCCACATCCAGCTCACCATCTTGCTTAAAGGACAGGAAAAGAAGGCAACCGAGAGTCCTGCCTTGCACAGGCAGCCTAACTGAAGCCTTATCTAGAAGGTAAATTAGGTCTCCCACCTTACAAAGACTAAAAAGAAACAGGATTTCAACCACAGGCAGACTTTAAGCAAGACAGAGAAAATGCATGCAAGTCACGACTTACAGAGTGCTCCAAGGGCACACAGCAACAGTCAACAGTCAACAGTCTACTCATCCAGTAGGATGGAAATTTCAATTCACAAGCCAGGTGTAGCCCTACTAAGGGATGAGCACCTACTTCACAGGGTTATTGAAAGATCACAGTCAGCTCATATTTAGCACAGTGCCTGGCACAAAGTAGGCTCTTAATAGATGCTTGCTCCTTTCTCTGATTGAGAAAGACAAAGGCAGCATATGAAAATGTGTTCAGTCACTGGGCAAAGAGAAATCTTCGTTTAGTTAAATATTCAAACACTCCTTGCCCATCAAACCTCAAATCTAAAACCTACCTGCTTCATGGCAGTCTCCCCAATTTTGTCTGAGTGCTTTCGGATACTTTCCAAGAAGTCTTTGAGATCGGACATGGAAACATCCTTGATTTCTTCCCGAAGCTTGGGGATGTTGTCCACCATGACTTTGCAGAAACGATAGTGGCTCACTTGGGGCAGGTAGGTGTGTTCCAGGTGCTCTAGAGTTTTCAATGCTGGGTAATGTCTGTAAAAGGAATCCCACAAATTTAGTTCTGCCCTGGATTTCTTAGATTCACAAACTCCTTTCATCTCTTCTAAATGACAACAGTACAAAGTCTTCCTGAGGCAAGCTTTCCAATCTCAATTCATTTTCTTCATGCATAAAGATAGCAGACTTACTATTATATTTAGGCATAACAGTGAATGTAAGGAGAACCTCGGGCCATTTAGCTTTTGTATGTGTTGTCTAGATGAAGAGATACCTAATAATGGAGCCATGGGAGGTGAGGAGAGGAAAAGCAGGCATATTTATGCAGGATACCAGAAAAAAAAATGGAAAAAAAAAAGGGAAAAGGGAAAAGGACTTCCAATGACACACAAGACACAGAAAAAAACCCTCTAACCAAACAGTCATGGACCCACAGAACTGTGATGAATTTGAGCAGATGGCATAATCAGACCCTCTGCACGCTGTTGCCAAAGACTGACTATCGTGTTAAATGTTGAAGTGTTGATTACAAAGATGCCCTGACCCCTCTCCCTAGAGAAGCTGAGCCCCAGAAAACCAGAAAGCAGACTGGAAGTACACCAGAAAGACCAGTCCCACTAAAAGCCTAAGAAGGTAGTTAGCACACACAGACAGTGACAGTCCCAGAGTTCTGGCACGGGAAGTGGTGTGGTACTCTGGAAAGGACGCTGACCCACGGAGCAGAAGACCTGGCTTCAAATTCTACCTCTGAGGCTTGTAACTTTTATTATTTTTACTTTTTGAGTGAGCAAAAGTCACTGAGCTTCCCTGTGCCTCAGTTTCCTCATCTGTAAAATAAAGTGGTAGGACTAGATCAGGGCTTCTTAAACCTCATATGGTCCTGTGTGGGTCTTGACCCAAAGTTTAAGAAGCACTGAAGAGGTCTCAAGTGGAAAAAGTTTAACAAGCCCTGGGCTAGGTCTCTTTTAGCTCTAGAGGTCTGATCCACTGGTCCCTGGAAGCTTCTGGTCCAGTCCCAAGTGAGCACACTTATTCTGTGTGTATACCTATGACAAGGAATTTACATGACAGAGCTGTGAAGTAACCATACTGAAGAGCACTAAGCATATGCAATGAGACTGGGTCTGCTGTTGCTCAGTCTCGGTCCGACTCCTTCTGGCCCCATTCGGGGTTCTCCTGACAAACATACCAGAACGATTTGCCCTTTCCTTCTGCAGCTCATTTTACAGATAAGGCAACAACAGGGTGAAGTGGCTTGCCCAAGGTTACACCGATAGTCAGTGAAGGAGGCCACATTTGAACTCGGGAAGATGAGTCTTCCTGACTCCAGGTCGGGCATTCTATGCACGATGGGGCCCCCTAGCTACCTGAGATTGGTCTAAGCACCTGATGATTGTTTTTAAAGAAAACCTTCAGCTATGCAACCCCTGATTTCTGTATCCAGTAACGACTGGCCCCGTAGTCTCCAAGATGTTTCCTTGCGCCCTGCTTGCCGAAGAGATATATGTACACATGAAGATTCTGTAACTCAGACCCTATTAGAGGAGGAAGGAACCTACAGAGGGTCTACGTTTCACCTTTGAGACTCACCAACAAGCATTTATTAAGGACCTACTATGTGCCAGGCTCTGAGGTGCAGGGTATATAGGTCCAAAACATGAAACCGCTCCTACTCACAAGGAGCTCACATTCCAATGGGGGAAACAAGTACATATAAAAATACATACAGCATAAATATAAAGTGAAGAAAAAGACCAACAAAGTAGCTACATACAAGGCACTAGCAGCTGAAGGAATCAAGGAAGGCTTCAGGCAGAAAACAGTGCTTGGGCTGCATCTTAAAGGGAAAGAAAGCCTCGATGAGGCGCAGGCGAGGAAGAACATTCCCGTGCAGACGAATGGAGATGGCCGCCTCCTCTGCAGGATCTCCATCCTGTTCGTGTCCGCTAGCTGTAAGCGTCCTGGTCACTATCTGGCCACTGAACCCTGATGGCTCTGGTCACTCTGCACAGCCCTGCCTCGCCTAAACCCAATTCACTTAACTGAGCCATGGCCTCGCATTCCCGAAGTCACAGTCCTCTCTGAGAACAAAGGACAAACAGCAACAAAGCATCCTTCAGGACTCGGTCCTGAGCCCTCTTCTCTTCTGTCTCTATCTGACTTCACATGGTGACTTCATCAGCTCCATGGGTTCAATTATCATCTCTATGCTGATGATTCTCAAATCTACCTTTCCTGCCCCAATCTCTCTGTGGACCTCCAATCCTGCATCTCCAACTGCATCTCAGACATCTTGAACTAGAGGTCCAGCAGATACCTTAAACACAACACATTCAAAACAAAACTCATCATCTTCCCCCCTAAATCCTTCCCCTTCTCCTACCTTCTCTATTACTGTAGAGATCACCACCATCCTCCCATCCCTCAGGCCCACAATCTAGGAGTCATCCCAGATTCCTCACTCTCAGCCCCGACATCCAATCTGTTGCCAACAACTGTCTATTTCTCCTCTGTTAACACCTCTCCAATATGCCCCCTCCTCTCCTTGGACACTGCCCCCTCCCTGGTGCATAACCTCATCACCTCATGCCTGGACTACTGTCACAGCTGCTGGTGGGTCTGCCTGCCTTGAATCTCTCCCCACTCTGGTCCGGCCTCCATTCAGCCCCCAAGGTGACTTTCCTAAAATGCAGGTCTGACCATGCCACCCCCTAATCAGTCAATTCCAGGGTTTCCTGTCACCTCCAGGATCAAATACAAAATCTCCTTCATAACCTGTCACTCACTCGGACCTTTCCAGCCTCCTTAAACCTTACTCCCCAACACATGCTTTTGGATTCAGGGACACTGGCCTCTGTGCTGTTCCCCAAATAAAACTCTCCATGACTCGACTCAAGATATTTTCTCTGGCTGTCCCCCCCACCTGAAACACTCTCACTCCTCATCTCCATCTCCTGGCTTCCTTCAAGCCTCAGCTACAATACCACTTTCCACAGGAAGCCCTTCATGATCTCTCTTAGTTCTAGTGCCTTCTCTCTTGATTTTGTTCTACTGTTTATCCTGTATATATTTTGTTTTTACACAGTTATTTGCACGTTCTCTCCCTTACTAAGTTGTAAATTCTTACCATCAGAAACTGTCTTTTGCCTTTCTTTGTATCCCTGGTGCTTAGCACGGTGCCTGACACTAGCAGGCACTTAACAAATGCTTAGTGACTTACTGAGATAGAATACTGTTCATGAGGAGCAGAGAGAAGCCAGTTGGGCTAGACTTCGGAGGGCAGTGAGGCAAGCTGGAGAAGGTAGGCTGCAGTTCAGGTTGAACAGGGCTTTAAAAGATAAACAGAGGAGTTTGTATTTTATCCACTGGAGTAAGGAGGGCAGAAGAATTCAAATGGCCAGACCCGTGCTTAAGGAAATTGGCAGCTATGGTAGAATGGACTTGACCAATGAGAGACTTGAGGCTGGGAGACCTATGAGGAGTTCATCTAGAGCAGAAATGAGGAGGGCCTGAACGAAGGGGTGCTTGTGGGAGTGGAGAAGGCAGAGAGTGCAGTAGATGTTCTAAATCTTGCAATGATAAGACTTGGCAACCGATGAACTATGTGGCCTGAGGAAGAATAAGAAATTCAGATTTACCAAGGTTACAAAGGTGTGAGGATAGAGGAACAGGGCTTCCTTTGACAGAAATAAGGACATCTGGAACTGGACAGGATTTAGGGGGAAAAGATAATGAGCTCTGGTTTCTATGTATTGAGTTTCAGATGCTTCCATGTTTTGAAATGTCTGGAAGGCATGATGATGGAAGACTAAAGCTCAAGGGAGAGACCTGGGCCAAATGTAAAGATCTGTGTCTCCGCTGCACAGATAAGGCCTGGTGCAGAACAGCCCTGGGGGAATGGCCAAGTGAGTGGACATGATAGGGATGGTGAGACAGCAAAGGAGACTGAGAAGCAGCAGTGGGGCAGAAAGGAGGTGACCCAGGAGACAGCAGTATCATGAAAACCCCAAAAGGAGAGAATATCCGGGAGAAAAAGGTGGACAACCATAACAAGCAGCTAGGTCGAGAATTCGGACTGAGAAAAGGCCATCAGATCCGGCGATTAAGAGATCGTTACTGCCTTGGAGGGAGTCATTTTGGTTGGGTATTAACGCCAGAAGCCACATGACACTCCATATCCCCCATTCTTGCCGTCCTAGCTTCCCTGACTCCCTTTAAATCTCAGCTAACATCCTACCTTCTTCAAGCAGCCTTCCCTCTGAGACTGACCCCACGGATTCTGTAAATGTGTTGTTTGTACATAGCACTCTGCATGTTGTCTCTACCATTAGATTGTGAGCTCCCTGAGAACAGGGACTTGGCAGAAAGGAGGGGTGATACCCCTTCTTTGTATTTCTAGGGATGAGCACAGTGCCTGGCACTTCACAAATGCCCCATGGCTTGATCTGAACCACACACATCACTAAAACTTTAAGGACTTCAGTTTCTTCACATAAAAGCATATAAAGTACATGAACTACTATGAACTTCCTCCCACAAGGGCCATGCTCCATTCAAGGAACAAGGTATCCCACTAATAACTTCACTCACATACAATCTATGCACTTTCATATAAAATACAATTCTCAATACCCAGAGGGAATAGCCAATTGAAACCTACTACTTTTATCTTTGGGGGACTTTAAATTTCAACTTTAGCCCCTCCCACCAAACTTTCTGGCCCTGAAACTATGAAAATGGCCAAATGACAAAGAACAAGGAAGATGAGAAAAAAGACCTGAATGAGTCAAGCAGCCCCTGGGAAATGAAGATGTGTGTCCTCCCTCAGGTTGCTACTTTTAAGAGTCATTCATCTTCCTGCACTCTTGCAAATCCTAGCTCCAGGAAGAATGGCAGTGTTTTATGCACCTGCCACGTGGACACAAGAATGTGCCACTCGTTGCCTTTGACATCTTTTCGCTCTTTTGAAAAATTAAGCTCACTTTGACTAACATAAGTCACATTAAAAAAAAAAAAGCTTCCCAAGTCTCTACATGGGCAGCAAACACACAAGCACCAAAGACTTCTACTTAAATGACTAGTTACAGCCATTCAATGCTTCTTGGCCATCCAACTCCGGTGTAAATTCATCCAACTAAAGGAAGAAAACATTGGTTTCTTCCCATAACTCCCTGTTTTTCCTTTTCTCCCAGCCTAAAAAAGGAGTTGTTTTTAGTTTTGCAGATTTGTTTCAATCAATGAATAAAGCAGTGTAAGCAGATCTCCCACATTAGGGTGAACCTCATGGCTCCTAATGCACTCACTGCCTTTTTTATTTGTGTTCATATTTACCCCAATCCCTCCCAAAAATAAAAATAAATGGTGAAGACTGAGGTCTCTTTCCCCAATTCAAAAGGGTTTTCAGCATAAGCTACAGTTAAGTCTCGGGGAAGTTGTTTTTACTCAGATTTTATAGACTCAAAGAACAGCACAATTCACATGGCTTAGTGTAAACAGGACACTGTTTATACTACAATTAGGTACGAAAAGCTATTTGCAATAAAATGTGATTCCTCTGGAGAGAAACTTAAGAATGGACAGAAAGCCAGAAATTAAGCCAAAGAGATAAACACACTTTGGGGTTTAGTTATATTTTGGAACGTTGTTTATAGAATGAGAGGAATCTACCCATGTGGCCTGTGGACACGTTAGGCATCTGCTGATGAGCTCGGAGGCAGCATGCTGCCAACATCTGGCCTGAGGAACAGCTCCACGTTTTTATGTCTCACAGTGCAAAGGCCAATGGTTCCTGGTACCAAGGAATGTCGCCTCATTCCTTCACTGTCCTTTTGTTGGTGTATTTCATGGCCGTCTTGTATTCTTCTCTTCAAGTACATCAAGAAATTCATAACTTCATTCTCCAAGCCAAGCACTCAGTGCAAATAACTAGCTGTACCCCTGACTGTCGGTGGTCACCAGGGTCCAAACTGCACTGGGGCTCTTTCTGAACTTTTGATTAGAGAGCCATACCCCACTTTGACCAAGTACAACATCACTAGAGGTATGAGGGAGGAAATAAAGTCATGTGGCAGGGACTGGGAAAGGAAAAGAAGAAAGCTGGATAATCAGTCCTGGAATAAGTGAGACAGAGAGTACATCCCAAAGACCATGCAAGCTAACCTAACCAAAGCAGAAAGCCCCCAGCCCTGCCTCTAGCCTACCCCCCAAAGCCATCTTTCAGGGCAGTGACTCTCATGAAGAAGGGACCAGCCATCCCCACCAACTCTTACCCATAAGGCAGGAAAGCCACCTGAGCCAAAGCAGAAGGCAGAGGATCCCATTCTAATGGGCGGGTGGGGGGGACACAACAGCCTATCCAGCGGGCTTGCAGCTGAGACCCTCTCCATCTGTTGTCTCCCCCTACCCCCCATTAAAATGGGATCTTCGTGAGCACAAGGGCCATCTTGCTCTTCTCTCTCTATTGCCTAAACACAGGAGGTGCTTTCTCATCCATGCATCCATCTTAGGAAGAGGTGTGTATCAGGCCAAAATGAAGAACATTCTTTCATTCAACGTTATGCCATGTACCCTGGTAATTTGCTGATGCCAAACATCAGGGGTCAGCAAACTAAAGCACCCAAACTCGACAGCCAATGTGTGCATTTGTAAAAGGAGATAGGATGTCCAGTTTCCATCAGGCCCTACAAGTGTGGCCAAAGACCTCTTCAAAGGTCTCTGAGATCAGGCAAGACTCTAGGCTCTATCATTTTATATAAGGAAAACACTAGCAGTGCCCAGCCCAGAGATGAAGTGAGAAAACCATCTGAGAGATGTTTCTTCTTGGCAGAACCCAAGGCAAGCAGGTGCATGAAGAAACGTTCTCCCTGGCCATACCTTTGCATGGTCTCATACCAGCGATCATCTGTCTGTAAACTTTCTTGTGCATCCTCTACTGTGAATAGTGAAGAAGACATTTCTAGAACAAGGGATGATAGCTAATCCCCCTTACAGATCTGTATCACCACAATCTGTGTCTGTGCCCCATTGTCTGACCAGACGAGGAACTCCCTGAGAGCAGGAGCCCTAAGGTACCTCAATTTTACATTTCCCTCAGCCCCAAGGAAGCCTGGAGCTTTGAAGACAGCCAGCAAACCCAGGCAGAGAGCAAGATCCCTGGAGAAACTGCTGGTGGGAAAGCCTAATGGACAGCACCCCAGATGAGGGAATCTTCCTCCTTACTGATCTGAGCACAGCCAGGGAGAAATTTCAGTTCAACACCGAGAGAGACGTTCCGGAAGTCCCTTACCTTTTCGTTTTCATCTGTTCCCTCAGTTTGCTGTACATCTCCAGGACTGGAAAGAAGAGGGGAAGATACCATGCAAGCATTATTTAGAGGAAGGGAAAGACAAATGAAAGCTGAAGGAACTGCCCCCAGACCCCCACTCCATTTCTGCCTCCTCACCTGGTAGACACAGCATTAATTTATCAACCGTGGCAGAAATATTTCTCTGTTGCAGTCGACACTGCTTCAGCTCTTCCATTGCTATTACCAGCTTGGAGGGCAGAAAAGAAAAACTGAATTAGGCCAATGGTTGTAAACAAAAAGCTTTCCCCCATATTCTTCTACCTTGTGTTCAATTCATCAGGAAATCCCAGACAGTTTCACAGTAAGAGCTGCCAAATGGACAAAGGAGCTGCCTTTCCCAACCAATAAAATATCCCCACGCACCTCCTCATCCTCTACCCCCATCCCCAGGTGCTGCCCCACTCTCTCCCCATCCAGGGCTCCTCCCCAATCTTTCTGATATGGAATTTTATCAGGCCTCAGAAAGGACTTTCTTTTTCTGAAGTGTGAGACTCGAGGACATCTGATCCCAGTGGGCATATTGCCACACACAACCCCTCAGGTGGCCTTGAAAGGTGCTGTGTTTGTATCTCTGTTTCTGCAAATGAGCCCAAATTGAAGGGTTAGGGGTATTTCTGAGCAAGGACTTTGGTAACTTTAAGAACAAGGGACTGTTCTTGCCATACTAACTAGGCACTTCCAACGTTTTAAAGGTTGTTATCTGAGGTGATCCTATACGGTAGCCTCCATCTCTTTAAAAGAAGGCTCAAGAACCCAGTCTGGCCATTTACAATGCTCCTCTTTACAAGGCCTCAAAACAGACTAGCTCAGAGAACCAGCAGAACAGGTTTACAATTAGGGTATTTGTTAAAGAGGCAGAAAACAGCTGTGGTTAACAGCGAACAAAAGGTACTCGGGTGAATCAAATCAAACTTGAATGAGCATTAATTAGCTGGTGTTCCTAGCCTCTGGCATTCATTGCAATGGGTCCAGAGCGGGAGAACAATTTTCTATATAACCTTTGGTTCTCCTTAAGACCCAAAAGGGAAACCAGTTTCAATTTAAGAGAAGAAGGGCTGGAGGTGGGATTTTATTTGGTACAGGGAACTCTAAAGTGAGGACCCTCTCCCTACAGTCCCAGATCTCTCCTAGTTCCCATCTTAGGGATTTGCCCAGAACACTGGAGGGTACAGGGATTGACAAGACCCCCAGCCAACGTGGTTGAGGCAGGACTTGAACCAGCCACTTTCTCTGCTCCACCACAGTGCTTCCAGAGATTCTATTTCACGAGCTTTCTTAGGCCCCTGGCTGTCCACCATGCCTGGAACACCTCTCCCTGCTCACCTCCGCCTCCTGGCTTCCCTCCAGGCTCAGCTAAAGTCCCACTTCTGCCAGAAACCCTTCCGGATTGCCCTGCCTTCTGCTAACTATCTCAAGCATCTCCTGGATGCATCTGGTTTGTGCCCAGCGATGTGCATGCAACTCCCCATTAGACTGTGGGCTCCTGGGGGCAGGGGCTGGTTTTGCCTTTCTTCACATCCCCAGGGCTTAGCACATGGCAGGCATCTACTATATACAAAGTATTGCAATATGGCTCCAAAGGGGGAAAAAATCCCTAAGTTAGCATTTCTACAGACTTTCAGGTGCGCAGAGCACGCTACATGCGTTACCCGCAAGTGCTATTACTGTCCCCATTCTCCATATGGAAGAAGCTGGAGCTGAAAGGGGTTAAGTGAGCCCAGGTCACAGTCAAGATCTTGTCAATGTCTCAGGCAGGATCTGAATTCAGGTCTTTCTGACTAAATGCAGCACTCAGTAGTATATCCTCTGCATCACCTAGCTCTCTTAGGGAGCTGGTATTTTCCTGGAGATGTAATCTCATTGATAAATAATCACATTCTATTTTAAATAAGTTAACATCAATTCATTGATTGAGCCAAGTTTCTGCCTTCAATAGTTTTGACTGGCTGCTGCTCTAATAAAGAATAATCAACACCAGCCACATTGGTTCTGATCAGCTGCTCAGTGAATTCATCCCAGGATGGAGCCTCTTCTCTTGTTTCAGCTGTCCGGGCTCTTCACTGACTTAATTTGGGTTACATCCCAGAATCCAAGAATGTTCAGGCTGGACAGGTCCTTCCAAATCACTTGCACACACAGGATGCCAACCACAATGTGGCTCTGCTCCAGCCTCCAGCCTCCACCATCACAAACGCTCACCAACCATAAACAGAAAGAACCCCAAACAAGATTATCAGAAGTGAACCATATGAGGCAGAAGAGGTTTTTCAAAAGGTAAATCGGGCTTACTTCCTTCCCCTCATGCTGTAGTTTTCTATTAGTATCAGTCACTTGATTCTGTGGAGAGAAGACAATTTGAAAGTTATATGAAACAAACATTTAGACAGATTGCACATTGTTAGGGGAATCGAAGACAAATATAATCAAGAATAAGGACTGGCTAAGCATAGGGTATCTGTCACATCTTTTCTGTAATTAAGTACAATTTTAGATTAAATTACATGTACCTAAGGACTCGAAACTTCCAGATCCTTTTTCATACACAGAAAATTAACTTTAACGAAAGATAGGTTTTGAATCATTCTAAGCCACAATACCTGAGGAAATGCACACCAAGCTTTCATGCAATTTGGATTTGTGAAGGCTAACTGTGGAAGGAACATGGCAGCAGATACAAATCCTCATAAGAAATGACAACCCAGAGAACATCAATGACCATTTCTATAAAATAGAGAAAGGGGGAATTTTTCCTCACAGGTATAATGAAATGACCTTCCCCTCAATATGACAAGAAACTGTCTGTTATGACTTTACAAGGCCTGAAATATTCTAAAACTCCAAGATGGGATATTGGGAAGGGGCCACTTTCCTGTGGAGGAAAGGTGTGGTCCAATGTGAAAATGCCTCAGCCTCCTGATGAGAGTGAAGCAGATTGAGCCTGCAGCTGGGCCCAGACAGGTGTGAAATATTAATGGGATGTGTCCATCTGACCTGTGCTTCATATGGCCATGGCCAAAGGCCAAGGCCCCTAGAGTAGGATGGGCCATTCCAGTTTTGAAAGCAGGAAAAGAAAGGTAATCCACCAAGAGTTCTAAAGGAATAACTATGCTACTGGCTAGTTCTGAAATGACAGTCATCCTGAGCCCCAGGGACAGAGCCTAAGCCAGGCTTCACCAAAAAAAGACAGTCAACATTTCATCAACGGTTTTTCCTTCACTTACACCTTCAAAATGCTGGCTTAGACACTGACAGAGAAGGGGAAGAAGAGGCCTCTGGAGATGCAGTTGGGCAGTATTAAATGGAAACCTGTCTCAATGCCCATGTGACAGTAACCAGTGAAAACCCGTATTTACTCCAAATTTATCTGCTTCTCTAATTAGGCTTTTAAACTATGTCCCAGTTGAAGTAAGGGCAGAGGATTTGCAAACATCCCTCCCCAGCCTGAGGAAACTGGTCTGGGCTCCTAAAGCAGCACCAAGAGAAAGGTAAGGAAGGAATCTCACTGGTTCTGGGGCTTTAGATCCAGGGAGAAAGAAGAGACACCTTTCATTTCCAGGCTCCTTCACATGCCCGCCCCCACCAAATACACCAAGTCTTTTGTTAATACTAGACATACAAATGTATTTAATGCGTTTTTCTTTAACGTACAACATCACTAACATGGCTACCCTGGAGCCCTCAGCATCTCCACATTTTGGAGAGGATGTCTGTGTCTCTTGGCAGTGGCATCTAAGAGGAAGTCATGAAGGGGGCTCCGTTCAGATCTGATTCCTACAGCGCTTGCAAGGTACAGATCTACAGAGGGGCTTAATCAATGCTTCTGATGAGAAGAATGTCGACTATTTTTATCCTCTTTTGTGCAAAACATTTAAAGGTGCTACACTGACAGTCCAAGACGTTCCCACTCCTGTTCATCAGGAGAACAGATGCCGTTGCCAAAAGACACAAACGTCCTCTTCAAAATGTGGCGATGCTGAGGGCTCCAGGCCAAGTCACACCTCTAATACCAACCAGCAGAGCAACCTCTAACTATGAAGTATCTGTTTCTGCACCTCATTAAGAGAGAATACATGTTAACATTGTTTTCTGCACCATCCATGGCAAAATGGTATTGTGGTAGAAATCAAACCCTGACCAATGAATACAAAAGTATAACTATACAAATTCACAATCCCTTCAGGAGAACATTGTCAACACAAGATCCTGGCATGTCAGCACAGCACATGACAGGCTCTTATACTGTAGATAAGCACAGATGGGCAGATGTAGAGATATAGAGATATGGGCCAAATGTTGGGTGGATATGAAATCGGTGAATGCCAGACCCAAAGACTATTCATTCAAGGTCAGCATCAGCTTGAAAGGAGATCTCTACTGAAGTTCAGACTAAAGACGAGCATCACTCAAGGGATGATGGAAAGGCACAGAGTGAGTGTGAGCGGGATACACCATATGACAAAGGAGGAACTCTGAAGGACCTAAGAAAACCAGACTCAAGGATGTCACCAAGGAATTGTATGGCAGAAAGAGATGATGGGCTAGTCACATTGCAAGAGTGGAGGCGGACGGCCAGAGTGCTTGTCAGACAAGGCCTCGGTGAACTTTTGGGAGGATATGGACAAAGAGTGAGACAAGCCTGGCAGACACAGTCAGACTGGAGTCCACATCCAGACTGCTGAGATCACAGCTCTGTTTAAGCATTGTGAGTATGAAGGACTTGGTTGAAGGCTCAGATGGCCCGAGTGTCCAATCTGCAGTTGACATGACGTCTACAGAATAGCTAACCCCCGGATGATACAACATCTTGGCAGAACAGCAGAAATTCAATAGGGACAAACATAAAGCTCTACACTCGGGTTCACAAAACCAAGCGCATCACTGGGGAGATGTGGCCAGACAAAAAGGTCTGGGAAAAAGACTGGAGAATGTCGGCAGACCACATTCAGAAGCGCGAGCAACAGAAGTAAAAGCTCCTTTAAGACAGAGCCTACCGTACTCTTCGTACCCTCCGTGCCCAGCGGGGTGCCTTACACCACAGAAGGGCTTGATCACCACTGGATTGCTGCACTGAAGTGTCCAACACAGCACAGAGAACAATAAAACCTACAGCAAACACAGCAGCCGCACCGCAGGCCAGTGTCCTAGGCAGCACACCCCTAGGGCCCTGCATCCAAGTCTGGACACCTCCTGTTTGGAGAGGCACATGTCCACAAGAGGGCAGCCAGAAGGGTGAGAGGACTGGCTGAAGGATTTGGGCAAAGAGAAGATTTAATAAGCCACTGAGATAGTGTTTGAGGTTCCCAAGGGCTCTCATTGCTAGCATTTCTAGAGTGCTTTCAGATTTGCAAAGCACTTCATATGTGTCATCACAATTAGCCTTCACAACAACCCTGGGAGGCAGGTGCTATGATTATCCCCAATTCACAGATGAGGAAACTGAGGCTGAATGAGGTTACTGACTTACCCAGGTTCATACAGCTAGTAAGTATTTAAGAGGGATTTGAACTCAGATCTTCCAAGTCTTGCCCTCTGTCCACTTCACATCCTAAGCTCGTTCTGCGCGGCCTCAAAAAGCAGAACTAGAAACAGCAGCTGCAAGTCATACTAGCTCAACACAGGAGGAAAACTTTCAAATAATGAGAGCTGCTCCTACGTAAACATAAGAGTGAGAGTCTCTGGAAGGCATAGGCTTCCTCTTCCCTTCTCCCCTCCACCAGAGGCTCGGCACTCTGAAAGGAGGTTCTTGGTTAACCACAAGTTGGACCAGACAACCCCTGAATGTCCTTCCCACTCTTGGGTTCTGTGGTTCTCTAATGTACAGTCATAGTCACTAAATGACACGGTTTCCCTTCTACTCTCTCGTCAGCAATGTCCTCTCAAGCCTCCTTTTATAGGAGGCCGGAGCCTCTATGAAACGCACCTGGAAGCAGCTTGGGGGCACAACAGAAAGTAGTCCCTTTGCTCAAGGCGTTACCCTCCCATTGGCAGCCCAACCTACAAGAAAGTTTCCAAACAGGAGCACAGATTATTTATTATATTCTTATATCCTGAGACTCCAACTAGAGGGTGGGGGATAAAAAGGAGAAAATCCATATGGAATAATTTCAGTTTGTTCCAAAACTGAGGCCAAGTCTGAATTCTCTTCTATTAAATGTCTAATCAGGCTTACTAAAAGACAGAGAAACATCCCTAGACTTAGTCATTCTTCCAGCTTCCACAGTGATCTGCCCTACCAAGCTTTAAAAAGGATATTCAGCTTTGTTTCTGTAGATCTCCTCCGACTAATTAATATTTCTCTTTTATTTCTTTTCCCATTCTTACTGCCCATTCAGATGTGTGTCCTAATTCAAATGATCCTCCCTACTTCAGCCGTATTGGCGATGAGGGAAAAAAACTCTTGAGGAGGTCAAGGATTCATGCAACGACAAGGGGGCTCTACAAAGGTACCTGGAAACCAGTCAAAGCTCACTGCCCAAGTCCTCTCCGTGAAGAAAAGAAATTGCTTCTCCAAGAACTTGGATCTGATCCCTACTGTCTCCAGAGTGGGCCAACAAGCCAATATTCCTATGAAACACGGCACTGCTATTCCTGGAGGGAGGGTCAGAGAGTGTGCTCAGAGGATATTCACAAGGCTCTCCTCAGTCTGTATCATGGCATGAGACACCAAATTCATATGCAGCAGTCTCCATTTCTTTGGCATTCACTAATATCAGAGTACTCCCCCTTTAGCAATACAGCAGAGAATTACCAAAATAATTTTCAAGGAACCTCCAAACTGAGGGAAAGAGCAGAATTTCATTTATACTAGGTTCTGGATTCATATGAGCAGACCAGAGGAAGCACCACATGAACAAGAACCTCCCCCCTACCACGGAACGTGGAGACCTACAGATGCAGTAGCTCCCCAAACTTCAACCCTTAGATGGTCACGGTTGGTGTTGTGACTGTTGTCTGCCAGGGCCCTTCCAAACTCGCTGTGCTAACACACTGTGCTAATACAACATTTAAAATACCCTGGAGAAGTAATCAATCACTGAAGGGGTTCCTGGATGGAAAATCTAAGGATCATGTCAGTGTGAATAATCATGTCAAAGGCAAAGAGGGACAGGCAACAAAAAAATCTTACGTATGCATGCATGTACATACACAGTTGTAACAAAATATATGTATATGTGTACATGCATACACAAATGTATATACATGTATCTATACATGCATACATGTGGGTGCTGGCATATGTGGACATACATACATGCATGCATGCATACGTTTTACGCACGCACACATACACACACACACTCTGACAGTCTGGCTTCTGACCTCATCATTCCATCTAAACTACTCCTCCAAAGTTACCAATGACCTCTTGGTTGCCAAACCCCAAGGCCTTTTCTCAGTGCTCATCCCTCTTGGCCTCTGGGCAGCCCTGACACTATCCATCCCCCTCTGCTCCTTGACACTCTCTTCTCTCCAGGTTTCTGTGATGTGGCTGCGTCCTGGTTCTCCTCCTATGTATCGAATTAGTCCTTCTCAGTCCTCTCTACCAGATCTTCATCCGAGTCAAGCCCATGAACTGCAGGTGGCCCCAGGGCTCTGTCTTGGGCCCTCATCTCCTCTCTCTACAAACTAATTCACTTATGATCTCATCAGCTCCCATGGACTCAATTATCATCTCTCTGCTGACGACTCTCAAAACTACCCGTCCTGCACAGACCTCTCTGCTGATCTCCAGACTAGCATCTCCAACTGCCCTGCAGACATCTCAAACTGTTCTCTTTCCCGCCCAACCCCTCCCCTCTTCCTAACTTCCTGCTGAGTGCATCACCACCCTCCCAGGGCCCTCGGCATTGTGCTTGACTCCTCACTCTCTCTCACCCCCAAAACCAATCTGTCATCATGGCTTGTCAATTTCACCTTCGCACCATCTCTTAAATATGTCCTCTTCTCTCCTCTGCCATGGTCACCACATAGTCATGAGGGCCCCAGCACCTGATGGGTGATCTCCTTGGCCCAAATCCCTCTCTACTCCCATCCATCCTCTTTTCGGCTGCCAAAGTGATCTTCCAAGAGGGCAGGTCTGACCATGTCACTTCTGACTCAATAAATTCCAGGGACTCCCTAGCACCTCCAGATTCAAATATAAAATTCTTAGTTTGGCATTCATAGCCCTTCATAACCTGCCCCTTGCTTCTACCTTTCCAGTCTTCCTATACCTTACTCCCCTACAAGTACTTTGCAAAAGAGTGACTCTGGCCTCCTGACTGTTCCTGAAGCAAGACACTCCATCTCCTGACTCCAGGTATTGGCCCTGGCTTCACCTGATGCCTGGAACGCTGTCCCTCCTCATCGCCGCTGCCTCCTGGCTTCCCTAGCTTCCTTCCAGTCCCAGGTAAAATCTCACTTTCTCCCAGAAGTCTTTCTGGATGCTCTACCATCCTGGTTCCTGCCCTGTGACGACCTCCATGTTCTCCCACCGGCAGCCTGTCTGGTCACAACTACTTACATGTTGTCTTTCCTGTTACACGGAGCTCCATGAGAGCAGGAACTGTCTTCTAGCTTTCTTTGACATATAGTAGGTGCTTAATAAATGTCTACTGACTGACTGAAAATATTCTGAAAGACAACTACTGAGCTGGAGCCCAAATGAACAAGCAGCACTTTTTGTAAAGATGATGAATGAAAAGAAACATACAAATAAATGTGTAAATTTGATAACTACCTGAAAGAACAAGAAAGCTTCTTTTGATGGTGGATTTGGAGAAGGTTACAAAGAATTACAATAACAAGACTAATTATCAAGAGATCATAAAGAATCTTTGGGTGAAGGTGGCCCTGTGGTGCTGAGTGTGTATCTGTCTTTATTAGGTGAGGTGCCTGAAGAGCCAATCGACAATGCCCAAGTACAGCTGCTAGGAAATAACCAGGAAATGACGCCTGCAAGATGCCACTCATTTCTCAGGACTTCTGATCAACCTGGGCTCCTCATTTTTCACAGTAACAAACGAAATTCAAATCCAGCATAGTCCTGATTTCCTTTTTTCCCCCTAAACTGTGTCAGTTTCATATCAATAAATTCTCCATTTTCACAGCTCCAGTTTGTAAAGCGACTAGCTCTAACAAGTTACTGAGTCTACAGCAAAGCCATTTCCTTGTGAAAAGAAAAAAATCCATCTTGTGTTTATACAACAGTTCCCTCCCAAGGAGAGCTCCATCCCCCAACGCCACCCAAAGGTTCCTACGCATCAAGAAAAGGACAAACAGCCCTGTTTCTGAGGGATCTCTGAGGAAGAGAAAGGCCAGAGACAATACGGGACAGCTCCGTGAAGGTTTGGTTTTTTGTTTTTTTATTTCAAACAGCAATCAGGCAGGTGACCAGCAGAGTCACCTGAGGGCATGGCTGAAGGTAGCTGCTTTCAGCTCTGATCCTCCACAGGTACCCCCCTCATATGTGCTGTCCAAATCCTCATCTGGCTCTGTTTCTGCCCAAACTCGTCTCTTACCAGGCTGCCATAGGTCCCCAGCCCCTTCCCCACCTCCAGTGGCTCCTCCCCCCTTTCCATAAGCCCTCCCAGCCTCCTCACCTTCAATCTGTGGGCTTCTCCTCTCACTTTCAGGAGCTCAGTGATGGAGTCCACAAAGCCCTGGTAGTGGAAATTACACATTTTCTCAATCTCCCGGTCATGATTGCGGATCCGGGATTCCAGCTTTTCCATGAAGCGACCGTGCTCCTCTCCATCATAGACGGATCTAAAACAGAAGAGTTTCCATCAAGGTAAATCCTCCACCGCCACAAGCAAATGAAGTAGGGATACATTTGTGTCCAATTAACGTAACTGGGAGTAACCGAACCCACAAAATGCAAGTTAGACATTGGCCAGCGCCTGGCACACAGGAAATGCTTAATAAATGTTTGTTGCTTGGTTGACTGTTTGATTCCACAAAGAAAGAGGAGCCAAAAAAACCTGCAGAGAGTCTATAGGAGAACCTCAGAAATGCTTATTAATCATCTAGGTGGTGCAACCTCGGGGGAAAGGCAAAAAGGAAAAAGAATTAGCCTGGAAAAGACCAAAAAGCAATTAAAGGCAGCTAGGTAATGCAGTGAATAGAGTGCTGGACCAGAAGATCTGAGTTCAAATCCTGCCTCTACCACGTACTAGCTTTGTGACCCTGGGCAAGTCATTGAACTTCTGTCTGCCTCAGTTTCCTCATCTGTAAAATGAGGGTGAGAACAGCTCCTTTATCCTAGAGCCGTTGTAAGGATCAAATGAGATGTGGTTTTTAAAGTTCTTTACAAATCTTAAAGCACCATATAAATTGCTAGCTATTAATTGATTTAGCTATAGACTTCAAGTACAAAAAGGAGTAAACTAAATGTTTTCAATTTCTACTAAGAAAGGGAAAATAAAAAGACAAGGTCCAGCTACATGTGAAGTATAATGAATTTAGGGTGCCATAAGGGGGAATTTTCAAAAAGTAAGGGTGTTCAGTACTTTTTTAGAGGTCTTTAAATCAAGGAGAGAATCTCATCTGTGTGGGATGACAGACATTCACGAGGCCTCACCTCTGTGTCCACTCTAACCCCAAAAGATTCCATCATTTGAGAAGCTAAAAGGAGAATTCTTGGGGCAATGGAGACACAGCTAGGCTGCAATAAGGAGGACTTTTATTCAAATCCCACCTCAAAGCCTTCTGAGCTGTGGAAACTCAGGAAAGCCACAATTCCTTATCTGCAAAATGGAGATTCTCAGCATCTGCCTCCCACAGGAGTTGTGAGAATCCAATGAGCTAATACAGGTTAAGCACCTTTCAACAAGGATAAGACATGGGCCCATGATTTCATTGGTATAAGGAGCTCCCAGGTAAGGCAATGTCATCCACCAATGTTGGCCAACTTCTCTGCTATTTATAGTCTCAGAATGTAGCCTAGAGCCCCCAGGGTCACACAGCCAACATGTGTCTGAAGCAGGACTTGAATCCAGGTCTTCCTGTCTCCAGGATCAGCTTTTTATCCCTTCTGCCATGCTTCCTCTTGGGCTACAAAGTTGTTGATATGATAGAGATTATTATCATTATTTGTCTCAGAAATAGTTAATATTAGTAGTAGTGCCATCCTCTGATTTCTTGTGCCAGTGGCGGTCAACACAGTCGATCCTGGTCGATGCCCTAGCATCTTCCCCTTTAACTGGGGGCACTATGTGTACTTATCACCTCCTACTTTTGTTTTTCCTTGCTCGACACCACCTCCTATCAGTCTTCCCATGATTCTCTGAATTCCTCCTATTCGTCATTTCTTACAGAGTATTCTTGTTTCCTCCTATTATTATAATTACTTTTTTCTTAGACCACAGTGTGTTCAGCTGTTTCCTATTGATGAGTGCCCACTGTTTTTCCAGATTTCTGCTACCACAAAATGTGCTACTCTGAGTGTTTTGGTGTAGAGAGCATCTTCCTTTTTATCTCTGATGTCCTCAGAGTATATGTGCAGTAGAGGGAACAATGAGTCAAAGGGTGTGCGTTTTGGTCAAGTTTTTTTTTAACTAATTTCCAACTGTTTTTCAGGATGGCTAAACTAATTTCCAGATCTACCAACAGTGTGTCGGTTTTACCACTGCGTGGGCCTGTCTCCCCACTGTCTCTCCATCACTGGCAGTTTCTGTCTTTTGTCATCTTTACCAGTTTGCTGAGTGAGAAGTGGAACCTCAGGGGGTCTGGAGTTCCTTTCTTTTGAATTTCAATCATTGCTAGTAAATGGGAGCATTAGGCTCATTGATTTAAGGACTTTTAAGCATAGGAAAACTAAGGCACAGAGAGGTGCAGTGAGTTTCTCAGGATCACAGTCAGGGGATCCAATTCACTCACAAGTCAAGACATCACCCCCTGATGTCACCAGGTCCTCTTCGGAAACAAAGGACAACAACAACAGCCGCTCAGCATCTATGGCAGGTTTTGAACCCAGGTCCTCATAACAGGTCTAGCACCCTATTGACTAGCCCAGGCTACCTCTTCCCGCCAAGCTGCCTACCACTGTGTTGGTCCATTTTTAAAAAACCAAATGAACTCTGCGACTGTGAAATCTGGATACTGATAACAGCTACTACGCAGGGTGGTTGGGAAGCTCAGCTAAGCCGGTATATGTGAAAGCACTCAGCACAGAGCCAGGCACACAGTAAGCTCAGCAGAAATGCTGCTTCTTTTCTCTTCCCTTTCTCTGCTGTACCCCTTAGCATATACAAGTTCAGCTTTCAGAGAACACGATAGAGGATTTTTAAAAGTTATTCCAGGGAAGGCAGCCGATTCCAGATCTTCTCCCACTTGAAACCTTCCTAAACCACAAAGGAAGGAACCTTTCAAAGTTGTCGTCGGCCAGTTAAAGAAGACTTTCAACCAAAGACACAACTGAAGAATTGCCACTGGCTGGAGAGCAGTTTCTGAGCGCCCACAACAAGGCTGCAGGTCCATGTGGGTAGAATCCGTATGCCTCATACCAACCACACCTTCCCCTTCATTTCTCTTTGTCTGCAGGTTGGGAAGGTCAATGCTGCTAGGCTGCCCTTGAACAACGTGGGCAGCGGTCTCAAGTTTTGTTTTCTGGGTTTTTTTTTCTTATGATAACCCAACACCAATAAGCTCCTCATCAGTCCCATCCTTACCCAGAAACTCACAATTCTGAGTTCAATTTCTACCTCTTTCCACCTAAAAAGCTTTTGATTTTCTCCCCGACAGGATGCTGTAAGCAATACAATGTGCTTTCACAAGAGAAGAGGAAATTTCTTCAGAGAATAAAAACTTGAGACTTACAAAAATAATAATTCTCTATCCTATTTGAACAAAAATAATAATTCTCTATCCTATTTGATTCAAACACTTATTAATAAGCGTATGAGCAGGGCACAATGAAAGGAACTAGAAATATAAAGAAATGCAAAAATCAGTTCCTTTCCTCAAGGGGCTGACATGCAAGCGATGGAAACACGTCTTGGACCAATAAGGAGCACCATGCTAACCAGAGGAGAAGAGAAAAGTAACCACTAGGGGCTTGATCAGAAAAGCCTTCCCATAGTGCTGAGACTTGAAGGAAGCTAAGGACTGCAGAGACCCAAGTGAGAAGGGAATCTGGGTCCATGGCCTGAGGAGGGTCAGTCTAGGCCAAGAGACATGGCTTTGAGATGGAATACTGAATTCTGGGAACAAGTAAGCCAGTTTAGCTGGAAGAGAAGAATGGAAAGGCAGGTTGGAACTACAATGCAGAGAGCAAGTGGGAGGATTTGTGTTTTATCCTAGCTACAATCCCAAGCCCCAGAATATCTTTCAGCAGAAGGACATAGTTGGAATGATGCTTCAGGAAGATTAGTTTGGCAGGTAAGTGAAGGACAGAGCACATTTGGAATACTCTCTTCTTACGCTAACTGCAAAAAAAGGGGGGGGGGGCGGAAAAGAAGTAATATAGGAGAACTGTGTTTGGTCTGACACTGACTGAAACAATGGACAAAACATTTTCCCTCTGTGGGGCTCAGGTTTTTTCTCTGCAAAACAGAGGGGTCAGACCAGATCATCTGCAAAGGTTCTTTTCAAATCGAACATTCTACACCTCATTTCCATTTTCAATTTTTGTCAACAGTATAAAAACGGTATATATTTCAGGAGCAAAGGAGAATGCTCTAAACACACACACACATTTCAGAAGAGATTAAAACAGTCCTTTTCCCATAACATCTCCCCATCTCCTGCCTGACTCTACCACCCTAAGCCTCTTCTGATTCCAAAAATTCGCTTCAATACTATAATACTTTTAAACCTGAAAGGAATGAAGAGATCCTTATAATGCGTTGACAAGCCAAGTTAACATCTCAAGGCACAAAAGTATGAACCAAGGGGATGAAAAGTCATACTAAAACTATGCATTTAAAGGCTGTGTTTCTATCACTCCTATGAACATTTTTGCGTTATTTTTCCTACTGAACGACCACTAAGGTCCTTTCTCACAGCTTTACCGTAGCTTGGAGGCCAACAGAGCAACCACAGGCAAAGCCAGTCCTACCTCGAGGCACAAAGGTCTCGAGCCTGTCACCTAAGGAGGATGCTGGGCCAAGATGACCCATACACAACCAGGATGCTTGGCTTCCAGGCAAAAACAGTTTTTGGCCAAAGCAACTCTGGCAGTTGAGGCACTGAGCCATGCAAGGGGAGCAAACCTTGCCATTAGAGGAGTTCCTCACATTTGGAGCCAACTTCAGATTCTGAAGTATTGTGCTTTTCTCCTCCTAACCCTACCCCTGCACATCTGACATCTGCCTTACAACATCAAATCAAAGCTCAGAACATTCTTTGAATTAAAACCTCCAACCTCACTCAGTGTCACCAAGCACCAGGCCAGGTACTGAAAGCAAGAGGGCAAGTATCAGGTCTAAACTTCAGAAAGATGACTGGGGCTGGCTATCCCATTTTTTGTTGTTTTTTAGCACTTAACAGTAACCAGGTATCACTTCCTGAATCAATGCCCCCCACCACCACCAAATGCCCCACCAAGCAAATTACATTTACAATAGAGAGAGGCTGCCATCTAGTGATCACTCTTTTTTTTATTATCCTCTTTGGAGGAATTCAGAAGCTGCTCCTCCTCTTCCTCCTCCTCTCCTTCTCCTCCTTCCCCTCCTTCTCCTCCTTCTCCTCCCTCTCCTCCCTCTCCTTACTCTCCTTCCCCACCGCAGAGAAATCCTAAAGAGCCACCAACCACCCTCTCAAACACT